ACCGTTACTTATAACATCTTACTTTTTGAGTTATTTATTTTTAAACTGGTAGTATAGAATTTACTGTTTAGAAGTATACCAATTAAAGATGATGAATTAAAGATTATATATTTAAGACTAAGTACTTCGAAAAATGGTCAACTGGAAACTCATTCATGCCAACTGGGTGAAAAGAGACCGTATGAACATGTTCCTCATGCAGCTCATGCTGATGCTCGAGACAACGTGCAGCTGGAAGTAGGGTATAAGGCATTTTAAATTGGCAACAGCAAGGACAATGAAACAAAGACAAGACGAAGCGACAAGAGAAGTCAACTAATAAGGGCGAAAGGCCTCGGAGAAGACCTCATTCGAGAAGATCCAAGAGACGGGGATAGGAACAAGGAAGGCGATGGCTACTCAGCTAACCTGTACGATCGGCACAAAGCAAGTGTCTAGTCGAGGAGGTGACCGTTACAGGCCGATACGAAGCAGACTATTTTTACAGAGGCTTCAAAAGGCAAAGCAGGAGAAGGAGACAATATATTAACAAATGAAGCCTAAGCCGTGTATTACACTGTGATAAACCACGACGGGCATTTGAGAACACGAGGCAAGCATTACCAGTAGAGTTATTTAAGGTGCGTCTGTTCAAAGTATTACAATTAAAGGCACTTTTAAATACGTAGATGTCAGATTTCCTACTCTTTTTAATTCATAAACCTCAAATTGTGAAATACCCTTGGAGCTGGAATAGCGGTGCAAAAACTCCATTCTCAGCCTTTCATAAATCATTATCCGAGTTCAGCGGCTCACAGCCATTCTGACATTAAATAACGTTGATTATTACCAGATTTATCAACCAAACAGTGGACTCAAAAATATCATCATATTTGACGTGATTGTAATGCTATTTTATTAAACAAACAAAAAGAAGATTAATCGATCGATGTATTGAAACTTTCAAATGTTATTTTAAAATCCATTTGCCTAAAAGTTCCTACCCCTGTGGTTTACAAAATACCATACGGAACTAATATCCATATGGAGCCTTGATCAGTATTAAGCAAAACGATAGACTACCGTGCTCAACCTAAAAGTGTTTGCATGCAGCTACAATCCACTGATAAGTTTCTACACAGACTATAAACTTAAGGTGCAGCTCCTATTGTTCTCACCTTCTAAGCCCAGCAAATAAAACAAAAATGTTCAGATCTCTGAACTGTTATAAACTCGAGGTACTTTTGCTCTAGCTGCAAGAAGGTTCGTAGTCGACAAGGTTGTTTTTACCCGGAGAAACCATTTTCACAGCCAACTGGATAAGACGCCATAATTGCTGATAATTATCTAATCTCAACAGATCTGTTAAGGGATTGGAGGCAACCTTCACCATCTCGTCTATTCCGGAAATAGCATTTCCAACAGCAACCACAAAGATTTTCACACCACTCGCTTTCAGTGCTTTGGCATTCGGTATGGTCAAGTCTGGACGGACGTTTGATCTGCCATCAGTGACAAGGAAGACTCTTTTTCTATTTGGTAAGGGACGGCGACCTTTAACAAGCAAAATAAAGTAAAAAGCATTTACTACACATGTGACCAGTGTTATGAAAAGTATGCAAAACAGAACAAATATTTTCTTTTTATTTAAATAAGAATCAGTTCCGGAAAAAGTAACGCAAATAGAAGACAGCCGAATTTGCTTTGCAATACGTACTGTTAAACAATCTTGTTAATCCAATTTTTTTTCTCTCTTAAACTATTAATGACAAATTCATACTTAATTACGGAATTTATCTTCTTACCCGAATAACTAGATCAATGCATCTTCAGAGAATTCTCTCCAGCTTGCACAAACCAAAGTAAACTTAATGCGGAAGTAAAATAAGAAACATTTTCGGTAGAGTACCTGAGTTAAGGTCATCAAACAGTTTCTTTGCTTCTGCCAGTCCGGCTTGGGTGTTAGTGGAGCCTCCTGGTTACGATATCTTCGTTATTTCGCTCGCTGCTGATGAGTATGGTAAAAACTTGAAGTTGACGGTTGCTGTGGTTTCAAAGGTAACCGCCGCGTACTTTGAGTCGTACCCGGGCTTGTTCAGTGTATCCATTAAGTGTTTAAGCGCTTCTTTTGCTTTCGAGAAGTCGCAAGGAGGAACCGACCCAGACCCATCCAAAACTATTACGGTATCAACAATGAACGTTTGTCGTTTGGTAATACCAGCTGTCTGCAGATCATAGCCCAGAAAGTTGGTCATGAGCTTATTTGCGGTCACATTGAGGGAGGGAACAGTTTGAAAAGCTGCAATTAAAAGAAGGAAGAATTATTTTCTGACATGAAAATGACCAGGAAATCAGTTTTATCCTAAATTATGATCATTTTGTGTTCATTGTTCTGCAGAGGAAAGCATTTTTATTATTGTTAAGTCTAAGTAGTCCTCGAGTCCCTCACACAAGCCTTCTTTGTTTCCCTGGGCTTCCTTGCCTGAAGGATTGATATTGTGTAAATATATTTATAATACGGTAAAAATGATAGTAAATTACAACAAACTAAACTAAAGGTGATCGTCATCTTTCGCGCTCTCTCCTCCGCAGATGCTCCAAGGGGTTTTCTCGGGTGGGAAGTAATCCGCTGAGCGATATGAATGCAGGCGTAAAACAAATTGGAAGGTGGAAAGAGCCCTTCGCTAACAGCAGAAGTAAACCTTTGCGCTGAGCATATAACTAACCTCTTTTGTGTGTGAACTCTTTTGAACTCTTTTGTATGTACATTACCTGGTAGCCGGATATAGCATGGAATAAACAATTTGTATGTTGAATTTAAGTTTCTAAGCAATAAATCATTTGATTCTCCTTGCGGCCTTAACAAATTCTATAAAACTTAGTTAAATCAAAGGTTTTATGTTTGAATCAAGATATATATACGATTTAATTAATGACATTAAGCGATGTGTTGCTGACGAGTGGCATAAGTTCTTAAAGAAAACTAAATGAGGTAACTTTTGCTACAGCCAGCTAAGAACAATCAAATGACTAATCTTTGTCAAAAATCTTACCCTGATAATAAGGATCCTGTGGATCGCTAGGATAAGTTGGGATAACTGGTACTGGTGGTTCCCAGCCATGCGAAGCAGAACTTGGTCCTGTTAGGAGCACAAGCAGGCACATCACGGAGACAAAGGGGATAACAAATCCAAACATTTTCAAGTCTTGATCGGCCTTGATCACTGTTCACGATTGAAAACTTTCTGGGTTTGAAATCGTTAGAAATTGCGCTCATTTTATAGCCTGGGAAATTAACTTCCGTGTGAAAGTTCTACTTCTGGTACAGCTTGGCAACTTTGTGCTACTTTCAGTCGAGATGGAAGAGCGTTGTTGTTTGTCTCAGCTTAGTGCTACTTTCAGTCGAGATGGAAGAGTATTATGATATTGTTGTTGGTCTCGGTGGATAACTTAATTTAATTTAGTAAGTCACGACGACCTCAAACGCTAATTGTCTCGATGATTCCATCTTCCTTGCCAGCATGTTATGTTGGAGCTCACCCTCATTTTGACCTCCGCTCACCACAATAGGAAAACATACACGAAAGATTTCTAATTGCACGTACACGTAAACAGAGGTTTGCACTGAGAAATACTCTTTTGGATTTCTTTTAAATTTTCGAGCACAAACTGGAAAAGCGCAAACTTGAACACGAATACCTTTGTATTGTCCGACACAAATTCTATTGTTTCCTAATACTTTAGTTACAAATCCAAAAAGGCTTAAAAACGGCGCTTGTAGCATTCTGAGCAATCCTTTACTGCTTTCAAAGTCCTAAAAAAACATGTATGAAGAATACATTCAAAGCAAGCAATGAGCAACAGGGAAATAACGAGATCTGCAGTCATAACGAAAAGTCAACTAAATGCGGAGCCGAGACTGTCCTCACTCTCGTAAGCGAGCACTCAACGATTGTAATTCGTATTTTCAACACTTGAATAAAATTGTAATCTGCTAAGCTTGATTAAATTTATCGCGGTATAACATTGCCAAATACCTTATTACATGAAATTTTCTCGACACATTTATTTCGCGATTTTCAGGTGCGCATATTTCGCGACACTTAAATTCCGCGATTTTGCGAAAATCTTGTATCTTGAATCACTTCAACTTCGCGTTTTTGAGTAACACACAATTTATTTCCTTCGCAATGTTACTTTGACATGTCCTTGAACTTAGTAAACTGTCTTTATCAAAGGCCGGTACAATAACGTCAAAATTAACAAAAACGCAACGGCGGGACTATCCATGTCAACAGTAACATAATGTGAGTCACTTAATTTTCGCGTCATGTTATGTTCGCATACGGCTTTAATTTTGCGATTTTTTTTTAATCGCGAAATTCGCAAAATTAACGTGTCGCGAAAATTCATGTAATAAGGTCGCAGATTAAAAGTTAAAATCATTTATGGCTGGTGAAAGGGTTCCACCCTGAGACTGATGAAGAAAGCTTAAGCCTTAACCCTCTGCTGAGCTACCAGCTTCCAAAAGATTGTTTCATGGTGTTCGCTTATATGAGAGTTCAGTCTCGTAAACCACCGGCTTTAGTTAAGATCTCTGTTTGGAATTTAGTATAGAGAAAACGAAATGGGTCCGCAGAAGCCTGGAAATCCTGAGCACAGAGATATCTATCGATAACTTCGTTCCAAGCTTCATACTTAGTGGTGCGGTTGTTCTACTTCTACCGTAAAGCGTTTCAAGGTAACTTTAAACTCGTATCAACTGAGAAGGAAGATCATTGTTACACNGTCTGGATCTGTAAGAGACTTACTGGACTCCCTTGTGTGGAGTTGGAGACATTGATTGAACTTGAACATTCTATAAAACATTCTAGTTGAACATTGCCTTAAGTTGGATCAGTTGGGACAAACCTGTTATAACCCCATTAATGCTTTTTGCTGTTGTGTTTATATTGTATTTCATTTATTTATTTTATTTATTATTATTATTATTTTTTTTTTTTACAAAACGGGGATGTTACATCATGCATTATCATAGCTTGGTACATCATGCATTGTTATAGTTGGTCCCAGCATGCCTTGGGGGGCGTAATAAAAACGTGGCGTCCATCTTTGATATCTTTATGTTTTCGTGCAGCCACAACACTTCTAGCACCTTTAGTATTGTCTGAGAGGATTTTTAAGAGGTTGGGATTTCGTTTTTTAAGCTTAGAACCTCAAACAAAGGCCAGTCTCGGATATTTTTTGCTCAAAACAACGGCGGGCACGTGCGAGATGTACTGAGAATTTGAATTTACCGCTGTATAAATTATAAACGCTCGACACAATAAAATTCAACCTGGAACTTCAATGCTTACTTGGGCAATAGCAACGGAAAAACACCAGTAGATAAACTAAATTTCGTAAACAGCAGCTTTTGATTTTAAGCTTACCTGTAGTTTACAGTTTTGTGGAATAATTTAATTTGCCGTGTTGTTGTCAGTAAGCAGCACAAAGATGGTCTTCATTTCAGTGTTCTGTAAGCCGTCACAGCCATTTTCCTTGCACCCAAATCCAGCCAAACGACGATAATATGCTTCAAACGGAAACTGATGCCATAGAGGCCATATTAATCGTGGTGCTGGCACCAAAATGAGTTTATAATCCTCTCAAAACTGCGATCTCCGGTCGCCATGTTTGGATTCTCTTTCGTTACCAGTGTCTTTCGCGTCACGGGAAAACAAGTGACGTCACGAAAACTTTTCGCGGGAAAGACGGTTTTACGCGGGAACTTGCGCGGGATCACATCAGACCGTCTCGCGTTATTTATTTCTCTTGTTTCCATCTTTCTAGGGGAGGAGGTACCCTGTCAGGCCAATTTCCCGATTTTGGCCTGTTTGAAATAGTTACAAGTTATGCCCATTTGGTGACGGAGTGTCTAATCTGCACGGGTCGCGGGTAAACAGCGTGAGTCGCGGATATACAGTGCGGGTCGCCGGGTAGAGCCGCGCGGGTCGCGGGTAAGCGGCACGGGTCACGCAAAAAATAATCATAAGCAGATAACCTGAAATAAACGTTTTAATAGACCGATAAAGGATGATAATTGTAGACCTATCTTCAATAATATTTTTGAAACACCTATTGCTCTGGCCGACCCTCGTGACCCATGTTATGTTATAAATTAAATGACCGGCGTGGTAATCCTGATAAGCCGTCATTTGTTTTTAAGACGAGTAAGTTTAAAGTAAAATTCGCACCTAGCATGGACAGAACTGAAGACCATGTCTTGAGTCAAGAATTTGGTTTTGTCGACGAGAAGGTAAAAATGTGCAAAGGTTTGGTTTCACTGGCTGCTAGGCTATCATCCTCTACTCGGAAGACGTATACCTTTCGCCACAATGGAATGTGAAAATGAAGACTCTTGCTCTGCCCATCGAGCCTTTTTCGAACAACTTTAACGAAGTTCTAAGGAAAGAAAATGAAAATGAGAAGTATTTCTTTAATCCTCGTGGGTGGGTTACCGAAATGGCGGGGTCAAATCTGGAGGGTTTGCGACAGTCAATTTTTGGAGTCAAGACTTGCGAATTTCATTTCACCTGACAGATGGCCGGAACCGGCGGTCTCGAAAGTTAAGAAAAGAAGACAGAAGCTAAAGACGTCTTGAAGAACTGTGCAATCGTCTTTTAGATGCTGAAGGCCCGGTTTCATACAACAAGGCCAAGGACAAAAAGAGAATTTCCTTGAAGAGGACAACGATCGAAAATATTTTCCCAGGTCGGTCGAATGGTGGCACAAAAGAAGAAACCATATATTTCGACCATTTGTACCGTTACTTATAACATCTTACTTTTTGAGTTATTTATTTTTAAACTGGTAGTATAGAATTTACTGTTTAGAAGTATACCAATTAAAGATGATGAATTAAAGATTATATATTTAAGACTAAGTACTTCGAAAAATGGTCAACTGGAAACTCATTCATGCCAACTGGGTGAAAAGAGACCGTATGAACATGTTCCTCATGCAGCTCATGCTGATGCTCGAGACAACGTGCAGCTGGAAGTAGGGTATAAGGCATTTTAAATTGGCAACAGCAAGGACAATGAAACAAAGACAAGACGAAGCGACAAGAGAAGTCAACTAATAAGGGCGAAAGGCCTCGGAGAAGACCTCATTCGAGAAGATCCAAGAGACGGGGATAGGAACAAGGAAGGCGATGGCTACTCAGCTAACCTGTACGATCGGCACAAAGCAAGTGTCTAGTCGAGGAGGTGACCGTTACAGGCCGATACGAAGCAGACTATTTTTACAGAGGCTTCAAAAGGCAAAGCAGGAGAAGGAGACAATATATTAACAAATGAAGCCTAAGCCGTGTATTACACTGTGATAAACCACGACGGGCATTTGAGAACACGAGGCAAGCATTACCAGTAGAGTTATTTAAGGTGCGTCTGTTCAAAGTATTACAATTAAAGGCACTTTTAAATACGTAGATGTCAGATTTCCTACTCTTTTTAATTCATAAACCTCAAATTGTGAAATACCCTTGGAGCTGGAATAGCGGTGCAAAAACTCCATTCTCAGCCTTTCATAAATCATTATCCGAGTTCAGCGGCTCACAGCCATTCTGACATTAAATAACGTTGATTATTACCAGATTTATCAACCAAACAGTGGACTCAAAAATATCATCATATTTGACGTGATTGTAATGCTATTTTATTAAACAAACAAAAAGAAGATTAATCGATCGATGTATTGAAACTTTCAAATGTTATTTTAAAATCCATTTGCCTAAAAGTTCCTACCCCTGTGGTTTACAAAATACCATACGGAACTAATATCCATATGGAGCCTTGATCAGTATTAAGCAAAACGATAGACTACCGTGCTCAACCTAAAAGTGTTTGCATGCAGCTACAATCCACTGATAAGTTTCTACACAGACTATAAACTTAAGGTGCAGCTCCTATTGTTCTCACCTTCTAAGCCCAGCAAATAAAACAAAAATGTTCAGATCTCTGAACTGTTATAAACTCGAGGTACTTTTGCTCTAGCTGCAAGAAGGTTCGTAGTCGACAAGGTTGTTTTTACCCGGAGAAACCATTTTCACAGCCAACTGGATAAGACGCCATAATTGCTGATAATTATCTAATCTCAACAGATCTGTTAAGGGATTGGAGGCAACCTTCACCATCTCGTCTATTCCGGAAATAGCATTTCCAACAGCAACCACAAAGATTTTCACACCACTCGCTTTCAGTGCTTTGGCATTCGGTATGGTCAAGTCTGGACGGACGTTTGATCTGCCATCAGTGACAAGGAAGACTCTTTTTCTATTTGGTAAGGGACGGCGACCTTTAACAAGCAAAATAAAGTAAAAAGCATTTACTACACATGTGACCAGTGTTATGAAAAGTATGCAAAACAGAACAAATATTTTCTTTTTATTTAAATAAGAATCAGTTCCGGAAAAAGTAACGCAAATAGAAGACAGCCGAATTTGCTTTGCAATACGTACTGTTAAACAATCTTGTTAATCCAATTTTTTTTCTCTCTTAAACTATTAATGACAAATTCATACTTAATTACGGAATTTATCTTCTTACCCGAATAACTAGATCAATGCATCTTCAGAGAATTCTCTCCAGCTTGCACAAACCAAAGTAAACTTAATGCGGAAGTAAAATAAGAAACATTTTCGGTAGAGTACCTGAGTTAAGGTCATCAAACAGTTTCTTTGCTTCTGCCAGTCCGGCTTGGGTGTTAGTGGAGCCTCCTGGTTACGATATCTTCGTTATTTCGCTCGCTGCTGATGAGTATGGTAAAAACTTGAAGTTGACGGTTGCTGTGGTTTCAAAGGTAACCGCCGCGTACTTTGAGTCGTACCCGGGCTTGTTCAGTGTATCCATTAAGTGTTTAAGCGCTTCTTTTGCTTTCGAGAAGTCGCAAGGAGGAACCGACCCAGACCCATCCAAAACTATTACGGTATCAACAATGAACGTTTGTCGTTTGGTAATACCAGCTGTCTGCAGATCATAGCCCAGAAAGTTGGTCATGAGCTTATTTGCGGTCACATTGAGGGAGGGAACAGTTTGAAAAGCTGCAATTAAAAGAAGGAAGAATTATTTTCTGACATGAAAATGACCAGGAAATCAGTTTTATCCTAAATTATGATCATTTTGTGTTCATTGTTCTGCAGAGGAAAGCATTTTTATTATTGTTAAGTCTAAGTAGTCCTCGAGTCCCTCACACAAGCCTTCTTTGTTTCCCTGGGCTTCCTTGCCTGAAGGATTGATATTGTGTAAATATATTTATAATACGGTAAAAATGATAGTAAATTACAACAAACTAAACTAAAGGTGATCGTCATCTTTCGCGCTCTCTCCTCCGCAGATGCTCCAAGGGGTTTTCTCGGGTGGGAAGTAATCCGCTGAGCGATATGAATGCAGGCGTAAAACAAATTGGAAGGTGGAAAGAGCCCTTCGCTAACAGCAGAAGTAAACCTTTGCGCTGAGCATATAACTAACCTCTTTTGTGTGTGAACTCTTTTGAACTCTTTTGTATGTACATTACCTGGTAGCCGGATATAGCATGGAATAAACAATTTGTATGTTGAATTTAAGTTTCTAAGCAATAAATCATTTGATTCTCCTTGCGGCCTTAACAAATTCTATAAAACTTAGTTAAATCAAAGGTTTTATGTTTGAATCAAGATATATATACGATTTAATTAATGACATTAAGCGATGTGTTGCTGACGAGTGGCATAAGTTCTTAAAGAAAACTAAATGAGGTAACTTTTGCTACAGCCAGCTAAGAACAATCAAATGACTAATCTTTGTCAAAAATCTTACCCTGATAATAAGGATCCTGTGGATCGCTAGGATAAGTTGGGATAACTGGTACTGGTGGTTCCCAGCCATGCGAAGCAGAACTTGGTCCTGTTAGGAGCACAAGCAGGCACATCACGGAGACAAAGGGGATAACAAATCCAAACATTTTCAAGTCTTGATCGGCCTTGATCACTGTTCACGATTGAAAACTTTCTGGGTTTGAAATCGTTAGAAATTGCGCTCATTTTATAGCCTGGGAAATTAACTTCCGTGTGAAAGTTCTACTTCTGGTACAGCTTGGCAACTTTGTGCTACTTTCAGTCGAGATGGAAGAGCGTTGTTGTTTGTCTCAGCTTAGTGCTACTTTCAGTCGAGATGGAAGAGTATTATGATATTGTTGTTGGTCTCGGTGGATAACTTAATTTAATTTAGTAAGTCACGACGACCTCAAACGCTAATTGTCTCGATGATTCCATCTTCCTTGCCAGCATGTTATGTTGGAGCTCACCCTCATTTTGACCTCCGCTCACCACAATAGGAAAACATACACGAAAGATTTCTAATTGCACGTACACGTAAACAGAGGTTTGCACTGAGAAATACTCTTTTGGATTTCTTTTAAATTTTCGAGCACAAACTGGAAAAGCGCAAACTTGAACACGAATACCTTTGTATTGTCCGACACAAATTCTATTGTTTCCTAATACTTTAGTTACAAATCCAAAAAGGCTTAAAAACGGCGCTTGTAGCATTCTGAGCAATCCTTCACTGCTTTCAAAGTCCTAAAAAAACATGTATGAAGAATACATTCAAAGCAAGCAATGAGCAACAGGGAAATAACGAGATCTGCAGTCATAACGAAAAGTCAACTAAATGCGGAGCCGAGACTGTCCTCACTCTCGTAAGCGAGCACTCAACGATTGTAATTCGTATTTTCAACACTTGAATAAAATTGTAATCTGCTAAGCTTGATTAAATTTATCGCGGTATAACATTGCCAAATACCTTATTACATGAAATTTTCTCGACACATTTATTTCGCGATTTTCAGGTGCGCATATTTCGCGACACTTAAATTCCGCGATTTTGCGAAAATCTTGTATCTTGAATCACTTCAACTTCGCGTTTTTGAGTAACACACAATTTATTTCCTTCGCAATGTTACTTTGACATGTCCTTGAACTTAGTAAACTGTCTTTATCAAAGGCCGGTACAATAACGTCAAAATTAACAAAAACGCAACGGCGGGACTATCCATGTCAACAGTAACATAATGTGAGTCACTTAATTTTCGCGTCATGTTATGTTCGCATACGGCTTTAATTTCGCGATTTTTTTTTAATCGCGAAATTCGCAAAATTAACGTGTCGCGAAAATTCATGTAATAAGGTCGCAGATTAAAAGTTAAAATCATTTATGGCTGGTGAAAGGGTTCCACCCTGAGACTGATGAAGAAAGCTTAAGCCTTAACCCTCTGCTGAGCTACCAGCTTCCAAAAGATTGTTTCATGGTGTTCGCTTATATGAGAGTTCAGTCTCGTAAACCACCGGCTTTAGTTAAGATCTCTGTTTGGAATTTAGTATAGAGAAAACGAAATGGGTCCGCAGAAGCCTGGAAATCCTGAGCACAGAGATATCTATCGATAACTTCGTTCCAAGCTTCATACTTAGTGGTGCGGTTGTTCTACTTCTACCGTAAAGCGTTTCAAGGTAACTTTAAACTCGTATCAACTGAGAAGGAAGATCATTGTTACACGCACGTGTGACCTGTTGTTAACTTCTTCATTCCTATAAAGTTTTAACCGTGCATCTCATCTTCCCTTCTAACCTGTTACGTTTGAGCTCGTCTTCCCTTCAACCCGCTTTCATAAATGTGGGAAAACATGAAAGAGGTTTCATTAGACGAGCACGTAAAAGGAAGAAGCTTGCGCTAGGAAGTATTCTTTTCGATTTCTCTTAAATTTTCCAGCACACATCTGTTGCTTGCCATGACGGGTATTTTCTTGTTTTTCCTATTGTTGCGAAAAGAAGTTAGAGAAGAGGTGAAAAGAGGCTTTCATTTAAAACATGGAGTGTGGAGTTTGAGGTCTTGTGAACGGTAGCCTGAGAAATCTGAGTAATCTAAAACAACATGTCTGAAAAATGCGCTCAAGGAAACAACGATATCCAAATAATATAACTTCGTTTTAAAAGATCGCAAATAAATTTTAAAGGATGTATGGCTGCAGGAAGTGTTTCTGGTAAGCGACCAGCTTCTATTGTTTCAGCTTGTGTTCGCTTAATTTTGAGAGCTCATTCTCCTTAACTACCGGCTCTAGTTTATACGGCCACTTTTTGGAATTTTCGAGGTGGTCGTTTCAAGGCGAAGGCCTCGACTGTAACCGAGGAAACGAAATAGGTGCGCAGAAATAGGAGCCTGAAAAACCTGAGCAGAGAGATATCTATACATAACTTCGTTCTAACCTTCATACGTAGGTGGTGTGCTTGTTCTATTTCCACCGGTGCAACGCTTGAATGTTTTTTTTCTTCACAACTTTGACCTAGTATAAGCTGAGAAGGAAGAGTATTGTTACACAGCACGTGTCACTCTGATGCCGTCACACTCTTAAAAAGTATCTCTTCTTCCTCGGCTTCTAATGTGTTATTTTAGCTCCACTTTGACCCCCTGATCAAGAATAGATATCTCGATCATTGTACGTAATCGACTCGCACTGTGAGTTTCTGAGAGGAAATATATCTATTTTCTGCAATGACAGATATTTTACGTTTTTCCAATTGCTAAGAAAAGGAGTTAAAGCATAGGTGAAAAGAGGTTGGCATTATAAGGGAATGTTGTTCGGCATTGAGTGTAAGCTTATTGTGTACTGCCGGAAGTAATCCCCGTGATCCCAAAATCCTAAAACACGCAACACATTGGAAGAATGCACAAAAAGGAAGAAACGAGCAACAAGGAAATAGATGAGTTACAGAATTCCTAACTACGTAATCATTTACAAAAAACGAAATGCGTATACAAAAAAGACGCCTGGTAAAATTGAAGCATTACTATCCGCCATAGCCGACAGTACTTTTTTGTTTCAGTAGAAAAACTAATTAAGAAACCATTTTTCAACAGACTTTTCATCTTTTGTGTCTTCTAAAATGTCGTTTTATGATTTTGGGATCATGGAGATTACTGCAGTGTACAATGAGCACAGACTCAATGCCAATCAAAATTATTTTTCTTTTCACCATTGCTTTAACAAAGAGAGGTCTTAACTAAAACCCTTTTCAACGAGGATGAGCTCTCATAAGCGAAGACAATGAAACACTATCCTGATTGCTTACCAGAATTTTTAGCCTGCGTAGGAAGCGTTCCCGGTCAGTGTTTTGTGTATCCCCACGGGGGATACACATATCACTAGTGATATGTGTGCGGGGATACACATATCATGGGGATACACATATCACTGTACGAAATTCGGGCCGCGCGAAGGAATTTTTCGCATCATTTTTCGCGCGGCCCGAATGCGAAAAACTCCTTCGCGCGGCCCGAATTTCGTTCCCCTTGTACGGGAACGCTTCGGTACGCAGGCTAAAGAGTTTTAAACTTAGAGCTTCCTTCCTCAGCCTCACGATGAAATTCTTTCTCCAGCCTTAAATCGTTTTAAACTATTACTTTGCCATCTTTAAAAATGACTATATCCTTGCTGCCGGTTGTTCTCTTGGAGCGCATTCTTCAGACATGTTTTAACGGTTCACAAAGACCTCTAAACGCCAACCAAACAGAGATATCTTTAATGAAAGCATTTTTCTCTCTTCTGTTACTTTTCATAACAACAGAAAAAACAACAAATATCCATCATAGAAACAGAGTCTGTGATGGAAATTACAAAGTAAATTGAAAATAGTATTTCCTAGCGCAAAGCTCTGTTGCGCCCTCTTGCAACGAGAGGTCTTTCACATTTTCCTATTTTGACGACAGAGGGTCAAGGAAAGGCGAGCTTAGAGATATCAAGTTGGAAAGGAAGATGAAATCACTGTGACGATTGGCGTTTCAGTTCAAGTACAATATTTTTAGGAATGAAGAAGTTAACAATAAGTCAGATGTGTCGGGTAACGTTGCGCCTCTTGGCTGATACAAGTTCAAACTTGCAAACAGTATATTATCAAGCTTCTACCGTAGAAACAATTCTGTTTGGCATGGCGTTTACACCTACACGTACACTTTATTTGATACCGCAGGTTAAACCTTAAGGCAGCTAGAATAGCTGATGTGGACCTGCTATTATCAAAACAAAAAAATATATATTTATACAAGTTTACAATTACAACATGAAATAGATAAATAGATAAATAAAATCACAAGTATTCCATGGATAAGACTGTGATAAAATTAAGTTTAAAATTTTCTGTAATGCTCATTTTTGTTTCGATGTTCTCAGAGCCCTTTTAAAAGCCTCGACTGCTCGCAAAGTCGTAAGCTACTTGATCCAAACAGTTCTCTAAACAAAGCACCTTCTTTACCTAATCCAAATTCTTTTTAGACCTTTTTAGGTGCTACTATCAATGTTCCTCGGCGTCGTCGTGACACCGCAATTTCAAAGTCAATTTTAAGGTTTGAGGCTAGTGTCAACCGTTTGAATCTGCCGGTCCGGTTTAATCCTTCACTGGTTTCAAAATCCTAAAGAAACACGTCTGAACAAGATACGTCTGAAGAATGCACTCAAAGAAAACAAAAAGAAATAACAAATCAGAACGAGATCGTCACAACGGGAAATCAACTAAATAGAGCCGATGCTTGCGACCATTCGTCAACCGACCATTCAAAGATGCTGATTTGTATTTGTCAACACTTGAATGAAAATATACAGGACTTGATTAAATATATCATGAACATTGCCAAATAATATATATTCGTCTCAAAGATCGCAAATTAAAACTTTAAAAGAATTTATTGCTGATGAAAGAGTTCCACCCTGAGACTGAGGAAGAACGCTTTAAGCTAAAAGCTTTGGTTATAGCGACCAGCTTCTATTGTTTCAGCTTGTGTTCGCTTCATGGGAGCTCATTCTTGTAAACCACTAGTTCTAGTTTTCGAGGAAAACTAAATGAAATTTTCGAAAATGAAATTTTCGAGATGGTCGTTTGCGAAAGCTTCGACTGTAATAGAGAAAACGAATCGGTGCACAGAAATAGGAGCATGGGAAACCTGAGCAGAGAGATACATAACTTCATTCTACCCTTTATACTTTATAGTGGCTTAGTTATGTGATTATGCTATTTTCTTAATGAAAGTCTCTTTTCAGCTCTTCTGTAACTTCTGATCATAGCAACAGAAAAAATAAAATATATCCGTCGTAGCACCCAACAGAGTTTCTACCGGAAAGTACAAAAGAAATTCAAAAGAATATTTCCTAACGCAAACTTCTGTTACGTGCTCGTGTAATGAGAAATATAATACCTTTCATGTTTTCCTATTTTGATGAAAGGGGGGTCAATGGAAGGCGAGCTCAAACCATGATAGTAAGTTAGAAAGGAAGACGAAATCATTGTGACGATTGTCCATAGTGGTGCACAAATAACAAAGCTCTTCCTTCTCAGCTGAAAGTTGCACTATGCTGCCAGGATGTACCAAAAGTTAATTTCCCTCGCTATAAAACGAGCGCATTTTCTAATGATTTCAAACCCAGAAAGTTTACAGTCGAGAACAGTCAGTCAAGACTTGAAGATGTCTGGATTTTTTATCCGCTTTGCGTCCGTGATGTGCTTGCTTGTGATCCTAACAGGACCAAGTTCTGCTTGGCATGAATGGGTATCACCAACTTACCCAAGCGATTCGAACGATGTTTTTTATCAGGGTAAGACTAGCAGTAAGCAAAGATATGAGAGTGCCTTGACACCTTGAATAATTATCTCATTAGCTGACATTCAACTCCTTTCTATTCATCAGTAAAATCATTGTTCTCGGCGTAAGGAGATTAGAGGATTGTAACTACTTCGAAACTTACTTACATTGAAATTGTTTATTCCATGAAAGTCCATCCGGCTCGTCAGTAAAGTAATACTCAGCATCATTCAAAAGAGGTCTGTTTCATTCTGAGCTCAAAAGGTCATCCTCAATGCTATCATCGGCACGACAATTTATCTAAATATAATATAGATACATATATCTTTTCAAAACACAAAATGATCATAATTTAGGATAAAACTGATATCCTGGTCGTTTTCATGCCAGAGAATGATCCTTCCTTCTTTAAATTGCAGCTTTTCAAACTGTTCCCTCCCTCAATGTGACCGCATATCAGCTCATGACCAACTTTCTGGGCTATCCGCATCAGCGTGGTGTTACCAAACGACAAACGTTCACTGTTGATACTGTAATAGTTTTGGATGGGTCTGGGTCGGTTCCTCGTTGCGACTTCTCGAAAGCAAAAGAAGCACTTAAACACTTAATGGATACACTGCACAAACCCGGGTACGACTCAAAGTACGCGGCGGTTACCTTTTCATCCACAGCAACCGTCAACTTCAAGTTTTTACCATACTCATCAGCAGCGAGCGAAATAACTACGATCTCTTATTCAGGAGGCTCCACCAACACCCAAGCCGGACTGGCGGAAGCAAAGAAACTGTTTGCCGACCCTAACTCAGGTACTCTTCCTATAATGTTTCTTATTTTACTTCTGCATTAGCTTTATTTTAGTTTGTACAAACCGAAGAGGACATTTCTGAAAACGCCTTCAACTCGAGTTATTCGGGTCCGAGGATCAATTCCGTAAATAAACCTTCTTCAGGTTTTCGGGAAGGTTTCCGCTTTAGTTTTATTTTGGTTTGTACAAACCGAGAAGAATTCTCTAAAAATGCGTTGACCTAGTTATTCGGGTCAGAAAAGAAATTCCGTCACTATGAACTTGATTTGTCATTAATAGTTTAAGAGAAAGAAAATAATAACTGGATTTAAAGTACGTAGCACAATGCAAAGTCGGCTGTCTTCAATTTGCGTTACTCTTTTCGGAACTGATTTAAATAACTTTTCAGACTGAAAAAGTGAGCGAGTAACAGCGAAAGGAAACTATTTGTTCCGCTTTGCATTGCTTCACAACACAGGTTACATGTGTAGTAATCGCTTTTTGTTTAATTTCTCTNAGCGAAATAACGACGATATCTTATCCAGGAGACTGGACCAACACCCGAGTCGGACTGGCAGAAGCAAAGAAACTGTTTGACGACCCTAGCTCAGGTACTCTTCCTATAATATTTCTTATTTTACTTCCGCATTAGCTTTATTTTAGTTTGTACAAACCGAAGAGAATATTTCTGAAAACGCCTTCAACTCAGTTATTCGGGTCAGAAGATCAATTCCGTAAATAAACCTTCTTCAGGTTTGCAGGAAGGTTTCCGCTTTAGTTTTATTTTACAAACCGAAGAGAATTCTCTAAAAATGCGTTGAACTACAATAGTTATTCGGGTCAGAAGATAAATTCCGTAGCTTTGAATTTGTCAGTTTAAGAAAATAATAATTGGATTGTTTCAAAGTACGTAGTGCAATGCAAAGTCAGCAGTCTTCAATTTGCGTTACTCTTTTCGGAACTGATTTAAATAACTTTTCAGACTAAAAAAGTGAGCGAGTAACAGCGAAAAGAAAACTGTTTGTTCCGCTTTGCATTGCTTCACAACACAGGTTACATGTGTAGTAATCGCTTTTTGTTTAATTTCTCTTGTCAAAGGTCGCCCTCCATTCCCTGATAGTAAATGGGTTTTCCTTGTCACTGATGGTAGATCAAACATAGATGCTCACTTGACCATACCGAATGCCAATGCACTGAAAGCGAGTGGTGCGAAAATCTTTGTGGTTGCTGTTGGAAATACTATTTCCGGAAGAGACGAACTCGTGAAGGTTGTCTCCAATCCCTTTGGAGATTTGTTGAGGGTTAAAGATTTTTCACCCAGGAAAATTCAAAATCAATGGTGAGCTTTTTTTTCTTTTTTTAAGATTTTTTTATTTGAAACTTTGAATAAATAAATGATTTTTGTTTGTGTGCTGTTTAATAAAAGTCTTAAAAACAGGTCAAATAAGATGATGCTTTATTTTTATGTCTAATGATTCGTTTGTAAATCTGGCACGCCACTAATCAAAGTTTATTGGTGTGTATGTTATAAACACAAGCTAGATTCGTTAACTGAACGCTAGACGTTTGGTCTGAACAGTTTATTTGCTAAGCCGGTGCAAGAGACCATGATCTACCTCATTTTCTCTTGGCCGGTATAAGCTGAGAACAGCAGGGGTGCACCTTTACAATCTGTGTTGGAACTTTTCAGTGGATTGTATATGCAAACGCTTCTCTTGCTGTTCAAAACTGATGAAGGCTCCATATGGAGATTAGTATTCTATAAACCACAGGGGTAGGAGCTTTTAGGCAAATAGGTGGTAAAAATATAAAAATATTTGAAACTTTGAATAAATAAATGATTTTTTGTGTGTGTTGTTTAATAAAAGTCTTAAAAACACATCAAATAAGATGATGCTTTATTTTATGTCTAATGATTCGTTTGTAAATCTGGCACGTCACTAATCAAAGTTTATTGGTGTGTATGTTATAAACACAAGCTAGATTCGTTAACTGAACGCTAGACGTTTAAGTGAAGCGCTCGAAAACTCGTTGTGAGATTACTCCTCATGTGAAACGCAAGTTATATCCTATACGATATTATGTTTCTCGTACATGAGAAATGTTCAAAAATGTTTATTTTGCGTCAATCGTAGGCCGTACATTTCAAATCGTCCGCCATCTTGGACCTGGAAACCTTTCACTAAAAATGTCAGAAAATCGCCCAAACTAATTCGAAACACATATTGCGTTTATAATTAATTGTAATATGTTTGAAAGAACACCTCATGAAACCACAAAAGTTCAGAAAACTTCGCTTAAAAGTCAACCGAATTTTGTTCCACCACCCTTTGAAAACAAGCTAAAGAAACGCTGCTATAGAAACATCAAGTTATGTAACGAAACAATTGATAATACGTGGACCACATGGCCCGGAAAATCTACTTACTACAGCTAATACCGTAATCACCCCATTTAGCGACCGGGCGCTAATTTACTTCTGGTAGCTCGCCAGGTCTTTCATTGTTTTTTCTATAACAAAAAGATATAAATCTTTAATTGTGACAAGAGAACAACGTAGGATGCAAACATCCTGCAAGTGCCTTTCATTAGCGTTGGTAACTCAGCCTTCTTAATTAATTTTGAATAACTTGCATGCTTCAGTCTGTGCTCACCACTCTCGGTCCTCTTTATTAAAGTCTTGCTTGTTCTCGCGCATCACTAGATCAACAAAAATGTCCAACTAAATGGCAATACTTGTACGTAAGGTACGGTGTGACTAGCTTAGCCTTCGTTTTTTAAAGGAATTGAGTCTCATGAGAACGCCGATCCTTTAAACTGCCTTCTTACAAATTGAGCTTATGTGATCAATGAAGTTACAATTGATATCTTTTGTAACACCTAAGAGCTTGAGATTTTGTGTTGCTTTAATTTCCTCATTGTTCGCACAAGTTATATGCGCCGCACACCATCGCAGTTTGTTTCTCAAGACCTCTTTGAAGAGCCAGAAGGCTTATTTTTAAAGACATGCACCAATTACAAATGATGCCAACATTTTCGTACAACTTTCCTCAGTACAACTCAGATATAAAAAATTACGGAAATTGGAACGTGTTTCCAGTACGTAAATACATTTGTGTCCCATATTCTCAGTTACTTTTCATTTGATGAACATTTGTCAACCTGGCTTTGAACAGACGTAAAGTACAAAGTGAAAAACAAGATTAAAGGTCTATTGAAAAAAAGGTTCTTTAATTAGTTTTTACTTTATTATAGTACTAAGTGAATCTGTTAGGAATGAAGAAGTTAATAGCAAGTCACACGTGCCGTGCAACAATACTCTTCGTTCTCAGCTGATAGGAGTTCAAAGTTACCTGTCAAGCTCTACGGTAGAAATAGAACAGAAACTACTAACACCCAAGTATAGATATCTCTGTTCTCAGTTTTGCCATGCTTCTATTTCTATGCACGTATTTCGCTTTTTTTCTATTAAAGTGGAAGGTCTCCCAAGCGATCACCTAAGGAATTAAAAAAGCTGGTGTGGTTTGCGAGAATAAGCCATCGCAAGCAATTGCAACCACAAGCTGAAACAATAGAAACTGGTCGCTTACCAGCTTTTCAGGTCATGAAACTTGAAGAAACTTGGAAAACTTGTGAGAAAACGAGACATTGACAGCTTGGTGTGTTTTTTTTCGGAAACAAAAAGGGGAGTAGCTTATTAAGCACGTGTTTCCAGTTGATCCATTCTTTCCTCATTTGTCAGTTAATTTTCAATTGATGTACATGAGACAACCCTACCTTTGAACTGAAAATAGAGCAAGTAAGATTAATAGCAACAAAAAAAAAAAGAGCAAGTTAAATAAATAGCAACGAAAAAACGAACAGATGAAAGGTCTATGGAAAAAGCTTTCCTAGACCTTTGGTAGTTTTGTAATGTAGCCCACCCTTTAACTTGGACATCCGACGGGGCAGGAAGAGGGGTAGGGCGTGGATGTACACAGGCTATTTCTTCTTTCGCCTGA